CGGGGATGACGTCACGGTTGCGGGTGAGGGGGGTATGACGTCACGGGGAGGGGATGACGTCACAGGGCGAGGGGGGTATGACGTCACGGGAGGGAAGGGGAATGTCGTGACAGGGCGAGGGGTACGACTTCACAGGGAGGAGAGGGTGATGACGTCGAGGGGTATGACGTCACGGAAGGGGAAGGTGACGTCGCAGAGGGATGACGGGGAGGAAAATGACGTCACAGGTGCTGACGTCGCGGGAAATTCGCGCGGGAAGAATTGCGGGGTCCGCGTGGTCGCCGCGGTCAATGGCCGCCAGGGTCCCCCGAACGCGGTAAGCTAACGCGCGCGGTTTTCCCCCGCTGCGAGGTCCGTCGGGCGCGGTCCTTCTCTCATGTCATCTTCTTCTTATGCAGCTTCTATTACAAAAGATAGATATATGGTTTTTATGCAGCAGTAATAATAATAATAATAATAATAATAATAATAATAATTCGACTTATTTCCGTTATTTTTGTTCTAATGAATTAAATAATTTAAAGAGCGCGATATCGCCGTCGCACGCGGTGAGGCTATCGCACGCGATAACGCTGGCGCAGCGCGTTATACGATACAGCGCGAAGGATGCATGGAAGGAAGCGAAGAATTGAGAGATGTGTTATTTAAATTTATACATTTATTTATTTCTCATGTTGTGCATGATATACAATATCACCTAAAGCGTACATTATTAATAATTCGCATTCAATATTAGAATTTCTATCATAAATCTTATGCAAAGCGTTTACAGCTTCAAATTTATTCACAATACAATTTTGACGTAAATAAGTCACGAAATATTTAAATTTACCACTTACACTATTCGTATATTGACACAAATTGAAATATGCATGATCAACACATTGTTCGAGTTCGAGCATGAATAGTACAGTCGACGGTTTCATATACATGCACTTATCACATAAAGATAATTTCACAGTGTTCACATCACGTATTTTGACAAGTTCCATTACAAGGTTTTGAATCATCAACGATGATGATGGTGTAGTCGACTGCACCAATCTTTCGATATCCGCCCGTTTTTCGACGAATGTTGTCCACGTGGCGTGCGGCAGGATGATGCGGTTGCCTCGGGTGTCACTAATCGCAATTTCCACGTGAGACATCGGTCCCACGGCGATCCCAATCTCCAGAAATTTGTACGCTGTCGGAGTCAGCGCAAACGTTCTACCCATGATGTTACGTGCGCTGCAATAAAGAATAACTGATACAAAATATTTTCATAGATATATAATTTTTTTTTTTCATAGATATATGTGAAATACTTACAGTTCATGCTGAACGTGAGAATCCATGTTGATGATGTCGAAATCGTTTGAGTAACTGATGCAGTAAGGTTGCACGAACCGCTTTTAAACTGTATCCCCTTCCAACGTTTTTAAAAATGCAGCGTTTGCAAATAAGCAGCTGCAGCATTTTTGCAAAAGACACGTACGGTGATGAAATCATTAGTGTAATTCAATATTTAAAGAATGCAACGTTTGCTAATATGCAGCTGCTAAGAAAGAATTTTGCACAATACAGATTTTTAGACACGTACGGTGATGAAATCATTAATGTAATTCAATATTTAAAAAATGCAACATTCGCAAGTTCTGTTTAAGATTTTATGCAAAAGACACGTCCGGTGATGTGAGCAGTAATGTAATTTGATACAAATGCGATGTTGCCAAATTACACATTTAATAGTTAAGAGATGCGACGTTGCCAAATAGATTGATATAAAACGTGAAGATTTAGACGCACCGTGTCATTAGTCAATCTAGCGACATGGAGCGAGATTTCATAGAGCAAGCTACCCTGCTTAGTACCAGAGAAGAGTACATCGCGTGGGAACAGCGATGCGACGAATTCATCGAATCTTTGGAAGAACAGAGTCGGATCAAACGACCGCGATTATCGATCGGCAATAGACAATCAGTGATCACATGTACCGCGCGGCTCGAAAGTTTGAAGGATTCAGTGCGCGGACGATTCGTGCACGTGGGCGCCGGATGTGGACTCCGATGACGTGAGATCGAAACGACGTTCGAAAGCCGTATTGTAACGGGCGCGGTGATAAACTCTAATCACATCGACCCCCACCGATTCCTCGAAGACGCGAGTGAAATTGTGCTCGAGCGTGTACAGTGTATGTTTTATGCGGAGATATTTATATATAAAGATAAATACAGTATTTAATGGTGAATTCATAGCGGGTGACAAACGCGCGAACAAGAGTATCGCCACCCGGAACTTTGAAATATATCGATGCACCGATCAGCGCGAGTGGTACGTGTCGCGCGTCGTCGAGCCAATCCTCGCATCGCTCGAAGAGTTTCAAGAACGCGATAGCGGCTGGGCACTGTCGCGTATACTAAATTTAACAGTGAACGCGAATAAACTAAATCCTCTGCGCGCGGGATGTCACATCAAACTCCCGGAGAAAATTATGCTGAAGAGAGCGGTGTTCAATGTGCTATCCAAAGACAATGCTTGTTTTGCATGGTCAGTGGTCGCCGCTCTGCATGCCGCCAAAAAAAATGTGGAACGGGAATCTTCGTATCCACACTACTCATCGGTACTAAATCTTACGGGTATTGAGTTCTCAATAACGTTGAGTCAAATTAAAAAATTTGAAAATCTCAACGACATTTCCATCAACGTTTACGCCATCGAGGAGGAGATCGTACTGATACGACTCGCCGACCAAAAGAGGAGCAAGCACGTAAACCTCTTGTACGTGGAGGATGACATCGCGGGACACTTTGTGCTGATTAAAGACCTGTCACGTCTAGTAAGCTCGCAAATTAGCAAAAAGAAGAACAGGAAATACTTCTGCGATAGGTATGTATAATAATAATAATAATGATAATAATAATAATAATAGTAATAACAGTAACAATAGTAATAATAGTAATAATAGTAATAATTTTATTTTTTTTTCAGATGCCTCCACTATGTTAGTTCAAGTGCCAAGTTGGAGCTCTACAGCGTCGACTGCTGAAAATTAAACGATTGTGCAGTAAGGCTACCGAGCCAGGACGACAAGTGGCTCGAGTTCAAGAACCATTGCAGGAAGGAGCGCGTCCCTTTCGTGATCTACGCCGATTTGGAGTGCGCATTGGAGAAAACGGATAAGGAGCCTACATCATCTACGTACACATACCAACATCACAACGTCTTCAGTATCGGGTATTACGTTTATTGTTCCTATGATAGCTCACTGTCAGGCTATCGATTTCACCGCGATAGTAATTGTATATCATGGTTCGCGGATGAATTGAAAAATTTAGCACATAGTGTGCAATCTGTAATTTCAACCAATGTTCCCATGGATTTCACGCGAGATGATTGGCGAAAATTTAATAGCACCACGCACTGTCATGTATGCGAAAAACCGTTCATGAAAAATGATAAGCGGGCACGCGATAACTGCCATCTCACCGGGCGATACAGAGGTCCAGCGCATTCAAATTGTAATTTAAATTATAAGGATTCGCGTTGCATACCCGTAGTCTTTCACAATTTAACCGGTTACGACGCTCATTTCATTATCAAAGAAATTGCAACCGCCTATAAAGGACGGGTAGGTTTATTATCAATAACTAAAGAAAAATATATTTCATTCACTAAGCACGTTGATGATACTATAGATGATAAAAAAAATTGCATACAATTACGTTTCATAGATTCATAAACTAAGAAAAAAATGCTGTTGATTCAATTAAAATCTATATCGCAGTCTGTCACTAACATAAGTAATTAATTCATGTATATTTTTATTGATACAAAGGTTTTGATTATTGTTTTAATAATCAAAGTTTTCGTATCAATAAAAATATACATGAATTAATTACTTATGTTAGTGACAGCCCGTGATATAGATTTTAATTGAATCAACAGCATTTTTTTTCTCAGTGACAGATTTCTCGCTTCTAGTTTAGACAAATTAGCATCTTTTCTTAGCAAAGATAAGCTGCGGGTACTGCGACGCGAATTTTCTCATCTATCGGACGAAAATTTTAATCTTTTAACTCGAAAAGGTGTCTTTCCGTACGAGTATATTGATTGCAGTGAAAAATTGAATGAATCGTGCTTGTCGCCTCGCGAATCGTTTTATAGTTCATTGACAGACGGCTATCCAAGAGCGATTACGCGCACGCTGTCAACGTGTGGCAGCGGTTCTCCATCCAAACGCTCGGTGAATATAGCGACCTGTATCTAAAAACAGATGTATTGTTGTTGGCCGACGTCTTTGAAAATTTCCGCGACAGTTGCGTCGCGAGTTACGGGCTCGACCCCGCATATTATTACACCTTGCCTGGCTTCACATGGGATGCCATGTTGAAGCATACAGGTGTAAAATTTGAATTGCTTACAGACATTGACATGGTCATGTTTGTCGAGCGCGGTATACGCGGTGGTCTGAGCCAATGCCCAAACAGGTACGCGCGAGCCAACAACAAATACATGCCGTCGTACGACCCATCGAAACAGTCATCATATTTAATGTATTATGATGTCAACAACCTCTATGGCTGGGCAATATGTCAACCATTGCCATACGCCGACTTTCGATGGATCGACGACGTGCAAAATTTCGACTTTTCGACCATAGCGCTAGATTCACCTACGGGCTATATTCTCGAGGTATACTTGGAATATCCGCAACATCTCCGCGACGCGTATACTGACCTACCGTTCTGTCCAACGCGAGAGAAACCGCCCCGCAAGCGCGATAAGAAGCTCCTTGCGACGTTATGCGATAAGCAGCGTTACGTGATTCATTATCGCAACCTGCAGCAGTGTACTCATCACGGCCTCCGTATCACAAGGTTCACCGTATATTGCAATTCACGCAATCTCCATGGCTTCGCGACTATATAGAACTAAACACAAAATTTAGAACATTGGCAAAGAATGATTTTGAGAAAAACTTATACAAACTTATAAATAACGCGGTATTTGACAAAACCATGGAGAATGTGCGTGATCGCGTCGATGTAAAATTGTTAACAAAATGGGAAGGCAAATACGGTGCCGAAGCAATGATCGCGAAACCCAACTTTCACAGTCGTAGCGTTTTCTCGGAGAATCTGGTCGCGATAGAACTGCGTAAGCTCGAGGTGAAATTCGACAAACCGATGTGGGTATGTGCATCCTCGATATATCGAAAACGTGTTTGTACGAGTTTCATCACGAATATATGGCACCGCTGTTTCACGATAAATGTAAAATTATGTATACCGATACTGATAGCCTCATATACCATGTAGAGTGTGACGACGTATATGAAATTATAAAACGCGATATCGATAAATTTGATACGAGCGATTACTCTGTCGACAATCCATATAGCATTCCGCTCGCGAATAAAAAAGTTCCAGGTCTTATGAAAGACGAGAACAACGGTGCCATCATGACTGGATTCGTCGGGCTTAGAGCGAAAATGTATGCTTTACGTGTACAAGGAAAGAAGGATACGAAAAAGGCAAAGGGTGTCAAAAGTAACGTTGTGGCAAAATCCATAACTTTTGATGATTACACGCGATGCTTAAACGATGCTATTGAAATGACGCGCAGACAATCGTGCATCAGATCGAAATTGCACGAGGTGTATAAGATATCGGAAACAAAAATCACTCTGAGTCCACACGATGATAAGCGGGTATATCGTATCAGGTTCTACCGACACGCTCCCATGGGGACATTACCGGTGTAAATAAAACATATCTTGTATGAATAATAATAACATTTAATATGTATAACATATGTAAAATGTATAATATATGTAATATATAATATGTAAATATATCCATATGTAATATATAATATGTAAATACATTTGTAAAGGATATTTAATATACTTTAGTGTATAATATATAATTTATATAATGTGTAATATGTATTTGTGTAATATTTAATATACTTTAATGTATAATATAATATAATATAATTTGTATAACATATAATTTATAATTTTATAATACATTGTCTTTATGAATCCACGAATTGTGTGATTCGTCAAGTCCCAACCATTTCACATAAACCTCGTTTCCTGTTTTGCTTAACATTTTTTCAACAAGGTATACGTCGGGATTAGCGACGCGATGCAGTTCGTATACGAAGAATCCTCCAGCTATGAGCTCTCCGCGGGAATCCTCCAGTAGATACGTCACTCGATTAGTTTGCTGCACTTTGATAATTTTTAAGATCTCCGTGGTCCAATTCGGTGTGAAACCTTTTTTAGATATTGTCTTGAATTTGCTTACGCGTACCGTATCGCCTACTTTGAATTTTGCGGGACCAGCGATCTTTATCGCACTGTACACTGTGCCCAGGAGTCTTTCGGCGATCGCGGGAGTTACGTCAGCGGGTCGCATGCCGATAGTGCGATTATTACGCGCGTTGTAATCCGACACGAGACGCGGCAGCATTTCGATCCATTTATAGTTTCCGTTGTATGTAAACTGTTTCCACATGTCATTCTTCAATGTACGATTGAATCGTTCGACGACCGATGCCTTCATTACGGAATACGTAGAATAATGATTGATGTTGTGCTTCTTCAAGAGTTTCTGCACATCCGAATTATAAAATTCTTTTCCTTTGTCAGTCTGCAAATTTTTCGGATATCTTCGGTCATCTCGAATTATCTTTGCAATTGCCCGCGTCACCTCATTCCCGTTCTTGGCTTTGAGCGGTATGGCCCATGCATGCTTACTCAGCACGTCGATGACAGTGAGAATGTGGTGGTAACCTCTGTTGAAGCGCGTATACGGACGCATCTCGATTACATCCGCCTGCCACAGGTCATCGTATCAGTGTACTATGACGCGTCTTCGCGTCACAGAAATTTCTTCTCGTCGGAGCGTGTAATTCTTCAACCAGCGATTGTTTCTCAGACATTCTTCGCTTCTTGAATCTTTTTTTCAAATTCATTTAACATAATTTGCACGTTATTCTGGTATGATGTTATCTTTCTTTCAATTTCATCAAGACGATCTTTCAAATCTTGAACACTCTGCTGCACGTATCGTTTGTTTGCTGCGTCAGTATCATCCACTGGTAGCGCTAAACGTCGAATCTTACGCGACTTTGCGTCAAAGTCGGCTGCAACTCGACAAAGAGCGTTATCGCGCACGTAATTTCTGAATAATTCACACCACTGATAATGTGATTCGGTCCCTCCTCCGAGCGACAGTCCAAACTTATTAATCGGCATTTCGATGTCGACTGATCGACATGTATAGATCATGATCAATTTATAATAAGTCCGGCTTCGCGAAGTTCTTCGATAATCGATAGAATCTCATTATCGTGGCCGTTGTGACCTGCCTGACGCGAGGCTTCGAGCAATCGAAAACGGTCTAGAAGTTCGTTGGGATCGTCCCAATGTACGTAATCAATCCTGTTGTCGGTTAATGACATGACGCATGGCAAATCAAATTTTTTCTTTATACCGGTCCCAACCTTTTTACCTAGCACCAATGGTGCGATGATGTTCTTGTACTTGTGTCCCTTATTACCCAATACTTGATTACCAGCGTTATGACCACGTCGATAAGCGTTTGTTGTCAACAGAATGCTCTTGTAAGTCTGTACATCGTCATCAGTGCATATACTTTCGTTGGGAAATTTCATAAAAATCAATTCATACAGTCCCGGTGTTCCATCGTATGTTTGTCCATCTATAATTATGTCATCGTTTTTGTTCAAGGTGATACGTTTGTCACCGAGCATCGTTCCCTCGTCGCTAAAGTAGACTCCATACACGACGTCTATGTTGACGGCTTTCTTACCGCTCAAGACCGCTTTCAGATATTTCTGTCCCAAAGGACCATAGTTTGCATGCAGTTTTTCTTGCCCCTCGGACGTTGTCGGATGGATGTTACAAGCGGTTCATTAGCAATCTCGAATACTTCTTCGACGGATGGAGCATAGTCGTACGATAACTCGCGCGATCCTGTTATTTCAGACATTTCGTTCAAAGTGGATGCTACAGTTTTTGATATATTCAACGCTGATTTCACAGTTGTGGAAGCCTGTATAGGACTATCGTACGAAGCGTTCGGTCGTTTTCGCTTCGGTTTCGGTTCCTCGTCTTTCTCCGAAAAGAATGTTTCAATGTTGATAGGATCCTTGGACGATTCAACAGTGTTTTCAACAATTTGTTTCAACGGTTCGGTAATAGGTTTGAAGTGTCTCTCCAACACGATCTCCTCCTCCATTTTACCAGTCTTCAAAGCGCGATACTTTTTACGAATTGAATCGCTCGTTTTCGCAATCCCCATGGCTATCTTCTCGTTATCTTTGTTGCTATCCATGTTGCACAGTCAGCGTATCGACGACAACTGATTGCTTCACGGTACCGCAAAGTCATTAAATCCTTTTCTGTATCGTCCGTTAGCAAGCGCACTGTCCTTATCAATTACGAGAAATCCATACTTTTGCTGCCAACATTTACGACACAAATCGCAGAAATCTTTGTATAGCATGTCGGTATTGACATGATCATTGTACACTCGTTTCAGATTGGTTCCATCCTGCTTAAACAGAATCAACAGATTTGCATTGTCACGTATTAGATGCTTCGGTATCTTTGCATAAGTCTGACAGAGATAGAAGCAGTCAACGTTCGCGTGGCGACCCATTGCAAAATAATCTCTTATCGCGTCTTGCTTGTCACATGCCACGTCATCAAAGATAAAGATTGAATTCGGAAGCGCCTCGCTCGGTGGAATGATCTCGCTGTTATTGGAGAATGTAAAATAGTTTATTTCTTCGATCGGTGCTAATAAATTTTCGAGATATCGATACTTTGGTTGTTGCAGAGATTTCGAATAAACGTATACGTTTTCGAAGCGTACACCGTTCGGGCTCTCCAACAAACTTATCAGTACATTCGTCTTGCCGCAATTCGACGGGCCGCAAATGATTGCGCGAATAGAAATCGGCAGCATCTTGCCATGCTTGCGCATCTCTTTATTGGTTTGCACTTTACCATCGACATTCGTCACTTTGATAGACTGCGACTGGTGCACGAACCGCATATTTTCGCGTTACACAAGAAACTGGAAAAGATGTCGCGAGCGGGCCTATTTATAGAGCTACGTAGAGCGTAATCGCTCAGTAATCAAAATGTTTCTCATCGTGTCGAATGATTTAACCTCCAAAGAATTGGAATATATACCGAAAATTGTTTTACTGCGAGAGTTTGAGAATTGTATAGATCTGCTGTGGGATAGACTACCTGAGCATATACGAGCCGATTCGGAGGTACAACGACACCGTCGGTGTCTGAAGCATTACAATTTGCCGAGTCATCAAACGCATATCGACGGTCCAGCGCCGTTGATAAAGAATTGTAGCGAATGCCGTCGAGAGGCAGAGGTTTGTTAAATAAAGCGATAAACGCGCTTCCTTTCGAACTGCACATTCCCGGTTACCAGTTTTGTGGACCGGGGACGCGTTTGGAGAAACGATTAGCTAGAGGCGACAGAGGGATTAATCCATTGGACACGGCGTGTCGCGAACACGATATAGCGTATTCGCACAACAACGGTCTCACTGAACGGCACGTGGCTGATAATATACTCGCTGAAAAGGCGCGGAAACGCATTACAGCGAGAGATTCGTCTCTCACAGAGAGAGCCGCCGCCATAGCTGTTTGGGCGGCTATGAAGGCTAAAACGAAGATGGGTATGGGCTTGAAAACAAAGAAACGAAAAAGTAAGAGGATACTTCCGATAGCGAAACGCGGCGGTATCGTGCCTGTTCTTCCGCTACTGGGCGTCCTCGGGTCGTTGGTCGGTAGAGCGGCGGGAGTCACCAAGGCCGTAAATGATAGCAGAGCAGCGGAGCGTCAGCTGGAAGAAATGCAACGTCATAATCGCGTCATGGAAGGTCACGGTGTTTATCTCGCTCCCTACAAGCGTGGACGAGGAGTAGTAAAGAGAAAAAAAAAAACGTCGATGAGACGTTAAAAGTACCAACGGGTGTAACTACCAACGTGCAACTGCTACAACTTGCAAATCGTATGCGCATTCCGTATTTCAGAGGTATCTTTATGCGTACGACATTACCGGTGGGAGGAGTACATCGAAACGAGAGCGGTATCGTGAATCCAGACAACGCAGAGGGACCCGGTACGCATTAGGTAGCGTACGCGAAAAGGGGGAATCGTGTCATATATTTCGACAGTTTTGGTAACCTCCGGCCGCCGAAGGAACTCGAGCGATTTCTAACAAACTGTGTAATCCAGTACAATCACATACCTTATCAACGTTACAATCAGAGCAATTGCGGACGGTTGTGTCTACAGTTTCTACGGACGAGTGATAAACAATTTAAAGACTGAGATTGCGCGGTTTAACTCAGTATTCGTTCAAACATGTCGCTGACGTTTACGCTGACGGGCAAAAGTAGTGTTCTAGCCGTGAGCTATTTTCCGGCGGTAGATTTGAGCGATGATGATTACGAGCTCGGTCTGACTGACTTTGAAACATACTACACTCTACCGAATGTAAATTCAACAAACAACAAGTTTTATTTCGACAATGAGGAAATTGTGATTCCCGAAGGATCGTACGAACTGCGCGATATCGAACGGTATTTAAAGCGCGAAATTTTACGTTCTCGTGGTGTGAAGAGTAAGGAGGATGAAGAGTTTCCGCTGGTGATTCGTGCCAATAACAATACGATGAAGAGTGAGATTAAATG